AGCTTTTGCAGCTCTTTCTGAGCTAGCTGCACATCAGGGGGTTCCAACTACCTCATCCTCAGACCCAGGCTGTCATCCCTCTGCCAGGCACATTGAAGGCAATGAAAGACTGCATCTGACTCTACTCATACCTATAATTTCAAGTGGGTCTGATTGAGGCTAATAAGCCAATGTCCCATGATGATGAATAAAGTAGCTTTTGGTCCAAATATCTACCAATTAGTATTGCATTATTTAATCTTTTTAAAATCTAATGCTCTAAATAACTTTATGAAATCCCAAATCCTAATTAAATAATCCCATGTGATTTCTCGTGTTGCTCCTCAGTATTAAATTCCTCTCCGATGTGTAGTTTTGGTCGCATACTCATTCCTTCCTCGAATTTCAGTTGAGCAATTTAGAGATTGTTTTGCCACTCATTAAAACTAAAGCTGTGCTGGTTTGCAAGTAATTACTTTCTTCTTTCTTTTTTTTATTTTTGTGCTGTATCCTAGTGTAGCATTACAAGTCAGCAGCCTCAGTATGAGGTTTTCCCCACTTCAGCAACCCTGACCCAGAAAATTGTACAGTTAGACAGCATAGCATTTATAATCTATCTCTATTTGGAAGCCCTTCAGAAAATGTTTTACAGGCATCTTGTGAAAAGGCAATTAATGATTATGCCCCCTTGCATTATGTAAGGGTGAAAAACGCAGTGTTGTTTTTATTACTTTTATAGCGTTCTTTGATTTTTCTTCTTTGCAGCCTTATGTTGACTTCTTCACACACGAGACCATGATCCACCCAGTGACCAATCGCCCAGAGGACAAACGTAGCTTCATCCCATCACTGATTGAGAAGGAGAAGGTGGGTGAGCCTTTTCAATGGACTCCTGCTCTCACAGTGGCTTGTAGAGCTGTATAATCCCAGCCAGAAAGTTCAGTGCCTGATCGTTAAAGCACGTTAGTGTACAAGAGTACGAATGCTTAAGCATTACAAATAAATCATGGGTTGTCTTCTTTTTGTTATAAAAAGTACATTTTAGGTAGGGAGCATTAGGTGAGGTCATCAACACAATGCCTGTAAATGTTATACCTTCTTTTAGAAAAATTGACACGACATGATTCATGAGCTATCCGTTGTACAGAAAGTTTATTCACAGCAGCCAAATATTTCATGATTAGCATGCATTGTAGAGAAGGTAAAATCAGGGAGAAGACTTCAGTGATAATATGTCATAGGAGCCATGTTCTGTAGAGTACTTAGATACTATATGTACTGTGAGCCAGCCTGCCAGCCTCATAGTTCTGAATCAGTTGACCAAGTTCTCTTCTGTGTAAGCTTTACCTATGCTGGGATGTTGTGCTGAGATTCGCATAAAGTTTTTGCAAGACTTAAAGCACTACACACTAATGCCTTTTATAAGCTCTTAACCTATCAAAACAGTCCCTCATCCCAGTGACAGACTTTCTATTGTATACATTACAGTATTTTATTTTCTATTTGAGATTTAGTAGTGGTCTGGTTGAGAAGACACAGACACCCTTGCATGGTGTTTTTATGATTTTTGAAAATGCTGAAAATTGATATTTATAGTCACCATAAATAAGCCTTGAATGATACATAATTTTCATGTTTCAACCAATTTGAAACATAACTGCTCCCAGATGTGTAGTATTAAATGTAATGATTCCCACATAGTTTTCAAAGTGGAATCGGAGGTGAAATTCTGTAATAATGGGGCTTTAAAATTGAAAGCTTAAAGAAATTAGAGCTCCAATTGAAAATAAAATTGTAGGGTTTTTGCCCACTGACAGTGGCACAAGAAGTGAGTCTGCAAATATCGCATCAATTCTTCTGTTACTTACTAATCCTTTTTTATAAAGTAAGACATTTATGAATACTTTAAGTCTCTTATTCACTTAAGGTCTTTTGTCATTGATCTTTAAAAACACATGCAGTATTTTTCTGTTGTTGCAAAAGTGGTTGACCAATAATGTTTGCAATATTATTGCAATAGTATTAATATATACCAACAGCAAAAACTCTTGTTGTGCCAGCATGGCTGTCCTTTTGTTGGCACAGACCAAACAAAAGTTATTTGGAATGTGAGAAAAGTTGGGTTTCTTCACGGCCGTGTCTTTGCAAACTGTTAGCCAAACTTTGACTTAAGGTGTTGAAATCTTAAAGTACTTTACTCTGCTTTAAACTATTTTTCTTTAAAGGAGGTCTAAGTAATCACTAAAAGATAAGAAATGGAATCGGTTGTCCCAGTTATGTACAGAGCCCCACAGTTATATTTTATTTTGGTGATTAACTAGTAATCCTGCTTGTGTTGGCTCTCCAGGTCTCTAAATTGGTCCATGCCATAAAGATGGGCTGGATCAAGCCTCGCAAGCCCAAGGACAGCACTCCACAGTACTATGACCTCTGGGCTAAGGAGGATCCTGATGCCATCCTTGGGAGGCACAAGATGCATGTGCCCGCACCTAAGATGAAGCTGCCTGGACACGAGGAGTCCTACAACCCTCCACCTGAATATCTTCTCAGTGAGGAGGAGGTAAAACTCAACTGACTTGCCTCTGGAAAGAAGCGGATATGGCCGGCTGATGATGTTATACTAATATGCAACTGCGGTGAGCTTCACTGCTCACTCAGGACAAGCCTACTGTTTTATTAACTGCCTGCTTGACTGGCTATCCGTCTAGGATGAAAACTTGGCTGAAGTTACTCTGTATTATCTGTCTGGATGTGTGAGTCTCAACTGTTCACTTATTGACTAGTTTGTATGACTACTTCAATATCAATGTCTTTACTTCTTGGCCTTCGAAACCATTGATGGGAAGAAAATAAAAGCAGAATATAAATCGTAATGCTAAAAGTTAAACTGTAAATATAAGATTTCTATCTGCAAAATGTCCTTAAGTTTGAGAAACGTCACACATCACATTGTGATGTTCTCTGAAGCGTGTGTCAAACTCTCTGCACAGAAACTGGCATGGGAACAGCAGGATCCAGAGGACAGAAAGCTGAAGTTTATCCCTCAGAAATTCTCATGTCTGAGAGCCGTCCCTGCCTTCTCCCACTTCATCCACGAGAGATTTGAGCGCTGCCTGGACCTCTATCTCTGTCCCCGACAACGCAAAATGAGGGTGAGTGCAGGCCATCGGGCCTCCAAGGCTTGTTTTGAAAGAGGATGCACTGTCCACTTGTGTGGCCAACATTTCAAACACAACCCACTGCTTTTAACACAGAGACACAAATTGGCGGCCAACTGTCCATGACAGTTTTCCAGTAATCGTCGTCTTCTGTTCCAGGTGAATGTGGATCCAGAGGACCTGATCCCCAGACTGCCAAAGCCAAAAGATCTCCAGCCTTTCCCCACCACTCAGTCACTGGTATGACTGTTGCTCTAGGAATCCGGACATCACAGATTGAACTCTTGTTTGCTGCTCAAAAATCATTTGGTTTGTGTTAGTGAATTTGAGTGAATTCTCCCCATGGTGATGTAAACTTTTAAATGTGAAAGTGACTTCATCAGAGGGAATAATGTAAATTGAGAAATTCCATATGCAAGTTAAAGGTTGAATGATGTTACAAAATCTCAGTTGTCAGTCGCATCCAGTCAGCTCAGACTTCAGGATTTTCCTTTTTGTTAACCCTAATTAAAGAGCAAGAGTTAGTTTTGAAACCTATTTTATACTGCATTCTGTCTGGCTTGAGCGAGGGTCTATTTATATCCAAGAAAACATACAATCGTCTTGGTCCGGCAAGTAGACAAAGGGCCTTGAATCTTAAAAGAGATTGTTCTTGGTTGTTTAGCTTTCAGCTCCAGAGCAGAGCTGTTGATGGATTCCATGTGTAAAGACGGCAATCCTTTGATTAGAGCTTTTAAAATCTCCTGAAAATGGTTTCCCCTGTTAAATCGCGGTGGGCTAGGACACCTGCGAGCATCTTAGGTCCAGAAACTTGAGTGTTTCTCCCTCACACGATCGCTTTGTTTTAACAGAGCAATGAAACTTTTGCTAATGTCTTTGGCACCTTTTGCTGACTGTTTGTGACTTTTGCCTTTTCCAGGTCTACCGTGGGCATTCCAGCTTAGTCAGATGCATTAGCGTGTCCCCCAGTGGGCAGTGGTTGGTCTCGGGTGAGTGCCAAAGTTCCTCCTCTTTGATGTGGGGAAGGCTTCGCTGGGATTCTATTTTTAAAAGCTCAGAGCTCTTCGATAGATTATTTTTTGTGGTTTGTTGTAATTTAAGCAGTAGCTAACTGCCTGCTTATATCATCCCCACAGCACGAGCCATGATGTAATGTGTTTGGCTTTAAAACGGAGATTAATAGTAAAAAACAAGTGATTCGTCTTGAAAGAATAGAGGAAAGGAGCAGAGGCATTGTGGGTAAAATAACTTGCTGGCACACTTTAAATATAAAAAAAATAACCTAAAAGATGTAATATTCTCTGTCCCCCTTGCCCCTAATTGAAGGCTCCTTGGTCTTTTTTAATAGTTTTTGGCAGCCTAATCTTACTGTGAACCACATCAGGAAACAATATGAAAACCCTTAATGCAGGTTGTAAATGTTCAAATGGTTTGCAAAATAACCCTTGAGGCTTTGGCTTTAAAAGTTAACGCAAATGGCTGACCTACGTTGCAGTGTCCCTGCACTGCCACCTCAGTATGTGTGCAGCTGACACCAGCAGCATCTCCTGTTAAAGCAGTGGCCATATACGTAAGAAAACTGGGGTGATCATAAAAAACACAATTTTAGGCGAGAATGAAAACCTGTGTGTCAGCGTATGAGCTGTAAAGGCGCGTGTAAAGATTACTTCTCTGCTGACAGGTAAAAAGAAGGTAGAGATAACAGTTTCATCTGTGGAGCCTTTTTTATCACAAAGTCTTTGTTAGCCAACCTGATTTGGACTAGCCAGCTGTGTCTCTGTGGGTGGCTATGAACCCTTCAAGCTCACATGGGGGAAGAATGAGGGAGTCCAGACAGACTCCTCCAGCGTTGCCACCTTTGAGCTGCTCATATTTATTGTTGTAGTCTTCTTATTTATTGTTATTGTCATCCTGTAAAGCGCTTTGAGAAGCCACCTTTAAAGGCGCTATATAAAATAAAGTTTATTATTATTATTTTTAACACATACCTTACTGGAGGTTAAACGCTAGCCTGAGGAAAGATCTGAACATTAATCGCAGTCAATCCCTGGCAGCGCTCAGCCAATTATGAGCTGCCACTTGGGGAATCCCAGTCATGGTTGGCTAGTGATATGACAGGAACTAGAACCCATGACACCTGGATCATGAAACCCAACCTGCACTTGGGCAAGTGCAGGTTTTGTCAATCAGAAGCCTTCCGTTTCATCTTTCTTTTTACTTTTCTGCATGGGATCATAGAAAAATGGTTACATGAATGTAAATTAACCAAGCCTTGCAATGCAAGGCGTGAATGAAGTAGCATGAGCACAGCTGGTGTGTGTCAGTAGAGGCGAAACAGCCCTTAAATGATCTTTTCATTCATAGCCTTCAATTGTTTGTATGACGGGAGTGAGAAATAATGATTTTCAGTACTTTCAGGGAAGGCCTTATGAGACAATTTATACCTGGTCTCTGCCTCAAGATTTGTGATGCTTGAAAGACCTTAAACTTCAAGGGTAGTTTAACAAAAAAGGACAAAATTACTCCTAGGTTTAAGTGATCCATGCTAAGATTCGCGTCTGAATAAGCCAGGCCAATGCTATGCAGAGTAACATCTGTAGAGTTGAAAAATGCTAAATATTAAAACTTCTTTAAAATAGTGTACTCACTAAAAACCTAAGTGTCAACTGCTGTTCTTACGGTAAAAAATAGGAATTACAACATGCATATGATTATCTACTTAAAAGGGGTTTAGAGAGTGTAGGAGAATTATAAGTAATATGTCAATTATATTTTGATTGGATAGGCAGAGTTTTTGTCGGGCACACTGTATATGAAGGCTAACAGTATCGACATCCTGCACTGCACCTGTTGTAATTTGGTCCATTTTGTGTTTTCATAAGACGTAAACCCCTCATCACTCAAGAGATAACTCATTTTTCAATCTTTTGTTTGTCTCCTCCTGCCTTTCGTGAAGGACAAGTCTTAGCTTCTGTTGTGTTGTTTTTTTTTCCATCATTCAGTTAAATTAACCTTTTTCTGCTTTCCTGCTATAGGAGACTAGTATTAGATGAAGTGCTTTTCTCAGTGTTTAGAAAAGCTGAAGTAAATCTTCAGGTGTTGAGATCAATTGAGGCCATCACTTGAAAACTTATTTCATTGTGAAAGAATTGTTAAATAGAATATGAGAATAAAGGACATGGTTGAGATCACAACTAAAGTTTACACTCACTGAATCTTGAAGCTTTAGAGAACCAGGGGAATACTCAGTCTAAAGCTATGTAGAACCTTGGTCAAGCTTTTCCAAAAAAGTGAAGTATAAGATATATTTTTAAGCTTTTGGAAATGTGGCTAAACAGATTTAAATTTAGTAACTTGGGTTACGATCTAAAAATGCCCAGCAAAAACAGGAAGGTGGTTGATGTTGCCCAAACTGAAGTATCATATGGGAAACATACAAACAATTGAAGGCTGTGAATACAGCAGCAAACCTTTTGAGGAGATGGCCTCAATTTAGAGGCAATACCCTCCATAACAAAGGACTTCATAAACCCTAAAACAAAAACCACTACAGTCATGGCCGGTCTTTGTCTTTCTATAAAATCTATTAGTGTTGTAATAAAACATTCTTTCCCATAGTAAAAAAGTACTGTTGACAGCCCCGGAGGATTTTTTTTTTATTTCCAAAACTATACCCTCATAAATTTAGTCCCCCCCCCCAAACACCACCACCATTTATTGTCCTATGGAGGGACATTTTTAAATTGTCCTAACCATGAAGGACCACTGTACTGTATATCTCTGCCCTTCTCTGCTGGCCTCCCAGGACTCCTGAAGTCCACCTTTGACTCACTTGCCAAATCGAAAACGTTGGGAGGTTTCCATCGCATGTAAGGAAGAAGCCTTTCACAAGACAAAATATTGCCTTGAATAGTTTTTCTGGCCTGCATTTGTTGGAAGTGGGTAGGAGTTCTATTTCAATGGGATATTTAAATGAAGATGAATGTCCAGTATACTTCCAGAGGCAGAATTGTATGTTGGAATTCACTAAGGTGTTAACCAAGATAAGAAGTGACATCAAGCAATTTGTGTGCGGTTTGTGCCCAATGATTATATTAGTTAATAGGATGAATGGTTTCTTTTTAAGTTGCCTTAAAATATTAAGTTTCAGCAAAATATCTCTGAAAACATTGTGTCCATATTACTACTTGTGTATGTAACAGGGCCACATCATTAAAATGAGAATCCCTAAATAGTGGAAATCTTCATATCTGTAACATGAATGCCATGACCGTTATATGACATATACAATGATTAGATTGATAATTAGATAATTCGATGGCAGGTGGCTGTGTGCGCATTACACTTTCGTTTTGATGTTTTATCAGTTATCTTTCTATGCAGATTGCTTATTTTAATACGCCAGAGATATAATTAGCATTTCATCTTTTTCTGTTTACCTAAGTCCGAGTCGTGCTGCTCTTCTCAAGCTGTAATCCTGGTGAGCGTTGCTTTCTTTCCTGGATATGAGCCAGGATGGTTTTCAGGAGCTGAAAATCATTACACTGTGTTCGTGAAAGACTGTAAAACAGAGAAGGCAAAACTGAAAATAAACAGTGGAAAAAAATCTTTACAACACAAAAACCACAGCACAGTTGATGAAAGACCGTAAATTTGTTGTTTTTTTTTTCTTTAATTCAAAAATGTTTTCATACTTTCCAAAGTCTAAGCACTAAATTTGTCAGAAAGCTGTTAGGCTCAGATTTTTTAAGGGGAGTGTGGCGGGGGCCTTGAGTCTTGACCATATCAGACACATGTATTTAGCTACATTTGCTCTGTAACTGCCTGCTTTTCCAACCAAGCATCTTTTAATTGAGCCTTATTGGCAATTCCCTGTGTATTTCCACTGCATTTCAATTGCTTACCACAAATATACATGCCAGACAGGATTTTTTAACCACCAACAGGACATAACCTTATGAGCAGTTCCTCTTTCTATATCTGTAGTGAAAGCACTTAATACTTAAAAAGTGATTATGGTTTTCAAGTTATTATACTCCACCCTCAAGCTTGCTTGTACAAGAAAACCAAGCTTTACTTGTTTTTTTTTATTAGGCATACAGGTATAAAAATAATTTTACTACCGCTTTAGCACTAAAAAAATAGTCTAGTCGATTTCAGAGGTAGAGTTTGACCGTGGTTCATAGCAAGCAGTAAAACCTTATTATAGAAGGAGGTTTTGGATATACCACGGTTAATCATATCCCCAAGACAGATGTGATTTATTTTTCTGCAGGCAAAGTCTGTAGTCCACTGTGAGTGTGTTAAATATAATGTTCTCTAGCTTTGTTGATTTTTAAAATGTTCAGTTTAATTGTGGCACTGTCCACAGAAGCAGAGTGACAACACCTTTTTAGCCGACATAACAGGAATGTACCAAGACTACATCTATTAATCAAGATTGTTCTTATACCTGCACAATCCCCAGTGACTCAGAAACTACTTGAAGGGTACAGAACCCATTAAATTGAAAACAGAAGTTGCAAAGATGGGTATACCTTCCAAATTCTTCTTCTTGTAGCTTCATTAATATATTAACAGTGGCGTAATAATGACTACAAAATGAAATCTTCAAGATTTATTATAACAGTTAAACGCGGCGAATCAAAAGCCAGTTCATCTCTTACTGGATTTCCCAAAGGAATAAACACTTGGAAGACAGAAGAAAAATTACATTCATTCATTAAGTTGCATGTGATGTCCCCTGTGGTGTTCTGAGTTGAAGAAGCACCAGGTGAATAGCAAAGTAGTTAGAACATCAGACAGATAGTGGACACCTTCGTTCATTCCATCTATTCAGTATTAAGAATTGCTCTGTCCCGCAAAATAAATTATATTTAGGAATCCATGTCTTTTACGTTGTTATGTACTCATCTAAAAAGAGAAAGAGTGGTTCCAAAATTTCGTATCGCTTATGACGCAGGTAGATTATGATGCAGGTGCTGAAGTTGTCCCCCAGGACGTACATTCTCTCGTGATTGCTCCTGGAAGACGATGGCTCTTGGAAGAATATCTGGGAAGAATCCCAGCACTTTGAGACCCAAAGACAGCAGAAGAAGGAAGCCAAGCTGGAGAGTCAAATGGAGCTTGTCTGGGTTTTTGCACCTTGACTGGGTTGCCCACAACAAGTTGCAAATAAAGAGAATATCCTTGTGATAACGAGAAAAAAATGACAAAACATTATATCATGTCCACAGCTTAGTCAGGTTTTATATCCCTAAAAGGCATAAACAGCACTGTTCTTTGGGAGACCTGTAGTACTTTGCATTTTGGATCAGTAACATTTTTGTCAACATAATGTAGTCTGTGTTGGGGAGCAAAGGAAGTAGCCTTATGTAGAATAGTTTCATATATTTGGTTATGCTGTGACTATCTGTGCACAGGGACATGTTAGATAATGCAGTCTTCCTTAATTCAATAGAAACATATGCTGAAAGTCTAGATATCTCTTAGATAGGAAGCATAAATCTGATTTGATTCCATTATTTGAAGCAAAAAATAGTGACGTTTCCAAGCGGGAGCCTGTATAAACTCACTACATCCTGCCTAGTCTATCAAAGAAAGTCTGGCCTGATAAATAACCATTGCGGTCCCAGTACCTTTGGTAATTTGGAAGACCTCAATGTTTCCTAATGTAGTGTTTTGTGAAATTATATCCTGTCTTTATTCAGGACCAGATTTGGCAAACATAGTAATGAGGTGTCCGGTATAAACACTGGATTAAGAAATTACCCAACATACAACTGAATTTGGCTTCACTCTAGGTTATGTAGGACTGTTTCATTACTCTTCCATGCATTGGGGCTCAAAGCCTGAAGAGGTCTTTCATCCCTTTTCAGTTCCCCCTTCAGTCCATGGCGGAGCGCTAATAGAAAGCAGATCAAGTCCATAAACATTTCCCTTTCGTTCTCTCCTCATCTGCCTCAGGAGAAATGCAGCACTTTTCGTATCGCTTTCTAGGGCTTTACCAAAAAATTATCGGCATCTTAAATGTGTGGTTTCCAAAAGGTTCGTTTTTCAAGCAAATGTAAGTGACAGAGTTGCATTGCTCAGTGGTAGTGGAAGTCTGGGCTAGTATACAAAAGTACTCAAGAGCGCTCTCAGAAAGCCGGTTTCTATAGTTCATGGAAGTGATGTTACTCTTTGCTTGCTTCGCCTTGTTTCGCGCAGTCACCGTAGTGTTTTTTTTAAAGGGGTTCTCCGATTCTGACTAACCTCTCCACCCTCGCCCCACCTTGTACTCAGGCTCCGACGACTGCACGGTGCGGTTCTGGGAGGTCAGCACGGCCCGCTGCATGAAGACACTTGAAGTGGAAGGAGCAGTCAAGAGCGTGGCCTGGAACCCTAACCCAGCCATCTGCCTCGTAGCGCTCAGTCTGTAAGGCTTCTTGCTCTGTCTTGTAGCGAACCTTTTCTCCGTCGAAGTGAAAGCAGCTGAAATTGATATGAAATGAACTTCAATTCCTAATATTGATTATTGTTGATAGTGATTTGATAAAAGTGTTCACTTGTTCATGCCCGAGCATGTGTTAAGATTTCTAGAGGACTAATTGGCCCCGACTACCTCTGTTGGTAGAGCATGAGACTCGTAATCTCAGGGTAGTAGGCTCGTGTCCCACGTCGGGCACCAGGTTGGGCACAAGGCTAACAACCCTGTCCAATAAGAAAACAATGTTATGAAAACAGGAACAGGATGTTGCTGCGCCTATGTGCCTGAAGGCGTAACGGGCAAACAGTAAGTAAGTGAGACGACTAATTAGAAATGTTAAGAGGCGCATTTCTGCCATAAAGAAAAATAAAGATCCTGAGTTATCTTGTAATTGTGAGATACCAACCATCGATTCAGTGTATGAATAACCTGTTACATTGTGCTACGACAGCACCTACAAGCTGCCAATAGCTTTTAAATAATTCATTTAAACGTTTTCTGTAGGTTTAGTGTTCCTAACAATGTGCAATGCAGCAAAATGCGTGTGGACTTTCTTCCCCCTCGGGTTTATTCATGATGACATTACAGTTTGTACCTCACGTAAACACTGTCTTAACCATGAGGACACTCACACGTATCCTCAAGCAAGAACAGGTGTGCCCTAAAATGGTTTCCACCACTTAAAACAGAAAGTCAGGTCATGGTATTGTAGGTATTGTATGACAGTTGGGCTATTGTGATCACATAAAGTACACAATTACTATCTCATAATTACGAGATACAGGATTTTTTTTGGACAGCAGCAATGCTCTTCCGTAGAAATGCACTAACTACTTAATGTTTTCTAGCTTTTACAGAATACTGAAATCCAGTTTGTCTCTACATTCCTTTTTGCTACTACATGCTATGACACTTTATTTCCATGAATATCATTAGCATAAGTATAATGTATAATAACATAAGGAAACCTATAAAATGTTAGGTAAATACATATTAACGTAACAAAATACATTTGCTTTATTTTTTAAAGTATGAAATTTTATTAGTCCACAGCATATCTGTATTATCATTTCATTTCTATGCTGAGGCTTTAGAATGATGCAGAACGTTTTATTCATTGTGGAAACCATATGACAAAGTCCTTTCCTGCCGCTGGTTTTGCAGTGGGCAAAAGGTGGTGGTGGTGAATCCCGGCCTGGGAGACCGACTGGTTTCCAGTGCCACCGACCAGCTCATCTCGTCCTACGAGGAGCAGGAGGAGCAGAAGCCACAGCCTGTGCAGTGGATCGTCCCAGAAGGCAAGGACTTTGAGAAAGGACTGCGCCTCATCATCAGCCATCCCAAGGTACCACAGTGGGTTAAAGGACATATTGGGGACTTAACCTTCCTCACAGTATGTGAGGCCCTAGATTAACAAGGCTGTTCTGAGGCTGGACTTTGCTTCAGCAGTGAATCACAACCCAGTTCCCGTCCAGCATTGTGGATGAAAACTCTGTTACACTCGGAGTTATCACCTCGAAGGGTTTTGTTTCCCTTAGGGGGTGTAATTTCAGTGGGGGATCAAGGTTTGTGTGCATGGCTGTGTGACGAAATCCTTCCAAAGAACCTGTAGCTTCTCACATGATTTGTAGTGCGGGAAACTGTAAGGTTTCTGGCACTATGCAGGCAGATTAGGGTATTTTTTTCCTATGGAAAAAAATGTTTTAAAAGCCACTAGTGTTTGAATTAAGGCGCAAGGAAAAAATATAGTTGACATGAAATATGAGCCAATGGAGATCCTGGAAGTAATAATAATAGAAAATTGTCCTCGAACTTTTTTCCTGGTCTGTAACCAGCTGGAAGGACCGTTGGTTGATAAGCTAGGTTACTGATAAATTAAATCTGAAGAAAAAGATGTTACATTTTCTTTTAATAAATCTGTCTTCTGTGATTTTTACTATGCAGAAATAGAATTTCAGTTGAAAAAAATCCACATTAGGAAAATACAGTATGTTTTGCAGTTTAACATCAGGCTTTGCACGTTTGTGGGACTTGGTGGTTCTGTTTTCAACTAATGTGCAATATGGTAATACAACACTGGATTGAACGACATGTTCTGATTCTATAGCCAACAGCTTTATTACCCTGTAACTCAAAATTGGGAGCCCACTGAAGCTCAGCAGGTGTGAGCCTGGTCAGTACCTGGATGGGAGACCTCCTGGGAAAAACTAAGGTTGCTGCTGGAAGAGGTGTTAGTGGAACCTGTAGGGGGCGCTCACCCTACGGTCTGTGTGGATCCCGATGACCTAGTATAGAGATGGGGACACACTATACTGTTAAAAACGCACCGTCCTTAGAATAACTTGTAAAACTGAGGTCCTATTTCTCCGTGGTCATTAAAAATCCCAGGGCACTTCTCGAAAACGTGTCCTGGCCAAACGTCCCATTGGCCTCCTAATAATCCCCACCTATGAACTGGCTTCATCACTCTGCTCTTCTCTCCACTGAGAGCTGGTGTGTGGTGACTATGCGGCACACTATGACTGACGTCTCATCATCCAGGTGGGCGCTACAAACTGGTCCACATTACCTGTAAATGGCTTTGAGTGGAGTGTCCTGCAAAGTGCTATATAAGTCTGTATAAGTCGCTGCTTAACCCCTGTGTGTGCCTTTTCTACCCGGGCAGTCTGTGAAGCAAGTGACATGGCACGGGAAGGGTGACTACTTGGCCTCCGTGCTGCCGGACAACGGCAACATGCAGGTGCTCATCCACCAGCTGACCAAGCGCCGCAGCCAGAACCCCTTCCGGAAGAGCAAGGGCCTGGTGCAGTGCGTGTCCTTCCACCCCATCCGGCCGTACTTCTTCGTGGCCACCCAGCGCTACGTGCGCGTCTACAACCTCATCAAGCAGGAGCTCACCAAGAAGCTCATGGCCAACTGCAAGTGGATTTCCAGCATGGCCATTCACCCTGCAGGTCTGCAGAACTCCGCGTTTGTTCCTTGTTGTGGGGGAAAGGGGCCAGACAGTGGCAGAATACTGCTGCAAAGTAGATAGAGCCAACGGTTTGCCTGCTGTGTAAGCACTAACATTAACCAAAACTAAGATTTGACATTATGTGAAAAAATAGCACTCGTCGGTGGCACAGTGGGGCACGAGTTAGCAGTGCTGCCTTGCAACGCTGTGGCCCTGGGTTCGATTCCAAACCTGGGGTGCTACCTGCGTGGGTATTGTATGTTCTTCCTGTGTTGACGTGAGTTTCCACGGGGGGGTTCAGATTTCCTTCCACAGTCCAAAGACATGCATGGCAGGTTAATTGGCTTCTGGGAAAATTGGCCCTGGTGTGAACGTGTGTCCGTGTCTCTGCAGTGGACTCGTGTCCTGTCCAGGGTGTACCCTGCTTTGCGCCCATTACTTGTTGGGATAGGCTCCAGCTCCCCCGCAACCCTGAATTGGATGAAGCTGTTAGAAAATAGACGGATGGGATCGGAATTTCTGGAACTGTCAGCTTATGGATTCCTCCAGTGGTTTGTGTGTGTTTAGAAGCCTCATAGAAGCAACAGATAAAGCTGGAGGACTACTGTTGTTTGCATGCCTTCGATAAGTACGTCTGCGTACTTATGGTATGTCCAGAGTGACCAACATGGAGATTGTTGCAGGTGATAATGTGATCTGCGGAAGCTACGACAGCCGGCTAGTGTGGTTCGATTTGGATCTCTCTACAAAACCTTACAAAGTTCTCCGGTGAGTAAGCACCCCACGTTAAAATGAAAACTGGATTACATCTATTTATTGTTTCATAAAATCAGTGATGTAACATACTCTATGTGACCAGACAGCAGAGTCCAGCTTTAGTTTAAATATCCTGCCTTGTTTTTTATTAAATACTTTCCTCGGTTCTTTTCTTGATCCTTGGTGGTCAAGGTACATCCGTGTGAAAAAATGTTGCCAGAAAGCACTTAATATTTACCCTGGATAATGATTTTTTTTAAATAAGCGGTGATTGTTTTGTGCAGCCATTATCATCATTCTGATACCGTGTTTGAATATCTTAGGCATCATAAGAAGGCTCTCCGAGGTGTGGCATACCACAAGCACTACCCACTGTTAGCTTCTGCCTCCGACGATGGCAGTGTTATAGTCTGCCATGGCATGGTCTACAAGTAAGTCAGACTTTCCTATTTCCTCACTCCTCTGTTCTCACCTTATCATCGAGCAAAGCCTATCATTAAGATGCTGGCATTTGGATTGTAGTCAAGAGTCCAGAGGTCCCAAGTACTTGAGACTTCACAAAAGTGCCAGTTAGGAGTACAAGTTTGTCTGTGTTCCCAGGATACACCAAGCGAGACGCAACTTGCTGAGTACTGTGAGGGATGTGTAGGCTTGTCTTGTCTTGACACCCTTCCAGTTGATGCTGATTCTCCTGTCAGATCATGTCAGATATCATGACCCAAGCAAGCCTGCACCGCATGAAAAGTGTCAGTGGGCTCTAGAAGTGAATGTTTCCATCAGATAGCACAATCCTCCTGTAAATGCAGCTCATCAAAGGAGACTAAGAGCTGATCTGGTGAGAAACATTGAGATAGAAACTCAGTAGCACTTTTACAGCTTAATTTATCATCAAATTATAACAATCCGTAATGTACTTTTTCCATCTCGTATATGTGCGAGTCTCACAATCCTTTCTGCTTTCTGCCGTGTACATGTTTGCATGAGAAACCACAAACCTGCTGTTCCTATTGTAAGAGAAGGTATTCCATTTTGCTCGATATTATTATATTTCATGAGCTGCTGATCAAAATCGAACAAAGTCTTTTCTGCACAGACACTATTGTTCCTTTGTGCCTCACAATGCCTGAACCCATTGTGTCTGCCTTGTCTCTAGTGACCTGCTCCAGAACCCACTGATTGTTCCAGTCAAGGTCTTGAAGGGCCATGAGATCTCCCATGATCTGGGCGTCCTGGATGTGACTTTCCACCCCACCCAGCCCTGGGTCTTCTCCTCCGGAGCCGATACCACGATCCGACTCTTCACTTAGAGCAGCTGCAGGCACAGGTGTACTGAGTTTTATGGGTGCTTAATGGCTGCACCTGTGAAGAATATTTATGCGCTGGCTTCTTCTGTTATTGTCAGCCAGGAACTCTGCAGAGATGAGCTAACTCAGAAATTGTATGAGGAAGCTACAGTATGGATCCTTACTTTTCTGCAAAATTTACAACCAGAAAAGCAAACTATAGAACTCTGTAACCTAAAACCAGTATCCTATTATTTTCTGAAAGTGTCAAGAATATGATTAGGGAAGATATTAACCTTCTGTGGAGAAAATAATGTAATATCTCTACACGGTACTGTTGAAAGTGTCATTCTACAGTTTCCACAGGTTTTATCAGGACCATATATATATAAATTCATACCTCAAAAATTTGACCCTTGTGATTTGTTCAAGTTTTCTATCTAAAAAATGTTCAGAGCCAAGAGCTCAAAAAGCTGAGAAAGACACCAGACTGTACCATTTCTTCTGTAAGTCTTGTTAAACTTAGAGGAGGGGGGCATGTTTAGTTTTCATGCAGCACCCCAGTCTTGACTGGATGGGGAAGGCTACTTTGCTGAAATATGCAGCAACCTAACAGTGCACGTGACATGTCAAATTTGACAGAGTTACTAGGCTGCCAGCGAGAGGTAATTTGTGCATAGTGAACTGTGCCAATGGAAACATCTGAAAAGACCGACCAAAGCAGAACTGGGTTTAAAGTGCTGTGATGTAAACTAATTGATCGTGCAAGGTCTCCATTCATTATAACAGACAGCTCTTTAGGGAATATTTGCGTTGATGTAAGTGATATTCAATTGATGACACATTGCTTTTATTTGCTGTATGTGTAAAACCTCTTTTTCTTATAAAAACCTGTTGAGAACCATGACTTTTTAATTAAAAACTTGCTCATGAGAACTACCTGAAGTTTGGAGGTTTTTATGTCTCATGTCCTTGTGCACAGATACTGAATTATGAAATCATGAATAGTAAATTCAGCAAGTGGATTTGTGACCGAGAACAGTAAATGTTTACACAGTTGTGAGAATCTTGATAGAGCTACCCCACCATGTAGAAGCTGATGTTCAGCACCTTCTCTAAGAAATCTGCTTCAGTCAGCACTTAGTCTACATAGACAAAATGCCCTTTATTCTAAATTTACTACTTCAGACTTAGTAGTGAAACAAGAACACAGAATCAAAATTGGAAATTACCAATAGGAAATACGCACAACTTTTTGTGTAAAGAAGTATATTCAAAAGAGTACCCAGCAAAGTGTGTGAAAATTGATTCACTTTACTGTCTAATAAGGAAGCTTATTAGCAGTACGGAGAAAAAAGTTGCATTTATACAAGAAAATTATTACATTTAAATGCAATAGTTTGAGAACACTGTTGCCTACTATTTTAACATCTTGCATTATATATGCAATGATAGTCATGTGCAAAGTAGGCATTGACTTTAACCACAGAATAATACTCGCACTCCTTTTTTTTGGGGAAAAAAATAATGTAAAGGAGCACATGTAGTGCCTTTTGTGTATATGAAATCGAGTATAGTGTCAGTGAGCATTCCTGGGTTAAACACATGCCTTTGTTGCCATGTCTGTGACAAGTAGAAATGACACAGCTTTCCAAACTATATTATATATATACTATATTATATATATATTATATATAATATATATTATTCTTGAACGTGAAACTGCAGGGACATACTGTACATATATTTGCCTACGTGTTAAACATTGAACAGAATACAATCACGATGACTTGACAGTCAGACTTACAGCTGCTGTTGGCTTACTGTTACTGTTACTGACGCTATTCTACTGTTGTTAGTCAGTGCTACTTTGCATGGGCCAATATTATTGCATATGTAATTCAAGATATTAATATAGCAGGCCGCATTGTTTACAAATTAACGCCTTTAAACGCAATAATTTTCTCAATTAAACGCAATAATTCTCTTGTAGAGATGCAATACTATCTCTTATAAACGCAATTTTTTTTTTCCCTCAGTGGTGGTAATAAGCTACCATAGAGGAGCAATGACATAGCCAAATACCCTCCTCTACTTTGAAACCTTTCTCAGCTGTACACAGTTGTGGTCGGTCAGAACTCAAGCGTGAAAGAGTTACAGATCAGCCCATAAACACTCAACATTTAAGGAATTGAGTGCACTGGAAAAACAGATTGAAAGTGATAAGCGCTTAATGTGATGATTAAATAAATAGTACTGCCTGGCTGAGTTTGGCACTATACTGTACAGAGCTTGGATAGGTCCGGCTGGACAGTAAGGAAAAAAGGCTGGGGTGTGTCAGTCCAGGGAGGGGTCAGCTCACTGGACCTCGGTTGGAGAAGGGAAGGTGGCACAGCACAGCGCCAGCCGAAAGCGAACCTGTCCACCAAAGTCCGCAAACCGAAGTCGGGGAGCTGGGGCCGCCAAGGTGTCACACTCATCGGCTGCTGAAGAGGAGACCCCCGGGGCGGAGGCAGCTGAGCGGGCAGACTGAAGTGCAGGGGATGAGCCACCGAACCCCGCGGCTGTGCTTCGTCCAGGCAGTAGGCTTCACTTGCGGAAAGGTCCAACCTCCCAGGCCGGGCAGGGAACTCTGGTCATGGCGGTCCAGACAGAGGGCTTTGGGAACCAGTCAGTTCAAGGCACACATCCTCAGGGGGGGGTCCCCTCACTGGCCAGGTCAGTCATGCGTATTAATAATAAGAACATCGGCCAGCACGAACTGTTCATATGTGACATCACAGCATGTACCAGGCTCTGGAGGAACACGTGTGTCTGCAGATTTTCATTCCAGCTGTGCTTTTAACCATCTGAATCGGGTTGCTATTTTCTCAACTGTAGCAGACATTTTGATTCAGTTTGAGTTTTCAGGTTTGGATTAAAAATTAAATCACAAAATATGTATACATCATCTTTAATTCAACCAAATGACATATCGTTAGAAGGGTGTGAATAAGTTTGCAAGGCACTATACTTCATTACTGTTAATCAAACAGTAATTTCCCCCATTTCCATCTCGGTGCAATATCAGTAATGAAGTGCAGCTTTGTAACATACAGTTGCAGATTTTTTTTGTCAGCACATTTTCCCTCTTGAAATGACCCAATTATCAAGTCTCTGTCTGGAATTAATACATAGTAATTAGAGGTTTACCCTACACTGATCTTTTGAATTTGCTTTAATAGTGCATGCTACAAATTGGGTGTCGTATCTTTTGACTGAAATATTATAGCTTGCTGCTAAGCTATTTACTTCGATTCTTTCCTCTTTCTCCACTTTAGGATTGCACTGTAGGGACCACTCCCAATTCAGTTTTTTTTGCAAAAGCTGGTTAAAAAATTATGGGAAGCCGGTACAGAACATTGGTCAGCAAGAACAGTTTATACGTAACATGACAGCATGTGTCAGACACAACAGTGTGTCTGCAGGTTTTCTTTCCAGCCTAACTTTGAATGAGGGTGCTGTTTTCTGAAGTGGATAGTTCGGTTTTAGGAGTTCTAGACACCTGAACACTGCGTGGATGCAGTTGGCAGGATTGGAATCGCTAGAACGCACGTTGTGAATCATGGGAAACTGCTCCAGGATCATCAGTGAAGTCGCCGGTTGCCTGGGTAGTGGAGTGTGGAGGGTTCATGGACATTTTTGTATTGCCAAGAAGTCATTACCTGTCCTGCTGGGGGGGTTGGGTTTTGTAATCCTGGAAGAACACGCAAACTCGACGCAGATAGCACCCCATGTTCAGAATGAAACCCCGGACCCCAGCTTTGTGAGGCAGCAATGCTTAAAACTGCACCACTTTACTGCCCTATTTAAGAATATACGTGTTTTCCTAGGAGCCTTCAACTTTCCACACTTATGCTAGGAAAAGCTATTTGGAATGTCATCAGTAGAAACTGAGGCGGAGTGGTAGGTAATGTATGATTAATGACTATTCAAATCCTCAGTCTGTCAGAGAGCCTACAAGACTGCCTGAATTGATGTAGTAGTTTCAAGCAATCAAGACCGAGTGAGGGAAACAGAAATGAGAACCATTAAGGAACTGCAATCTTAATATGTTATGTTTGAAAGTCTATTTTAGTCAGTAAGTTCACAAGTTTATCATTTCAGGGAAGCAGGCTTTGGAGGAGTGAGACAAACTTTAAGAGAAGCAGAATGACATAGTATTGATATCAGCCCTGTGGGGAGTGAAGGGTAAGTTTAGTGTAATAAATCTATTAAGAAAAAATATAAGAACTTTACAAAATGACAGTTCCACTTAAAAAAACTAATCGTATAATGTATTGCTCTGGAAGCTAAAATAATTTCTAAAAGGTTTTTCATTATTACAAACAGTAAATTAACAGCAACAGATGAAATGACTTGAATTATTGAATTAAGTCTTCATTCAGGTGTCAAGTAAGAAAGACCATGGCTTGGGCTGAGGAAGATCAAAGCCTTATATTAAATCATATTTAATAGAAGTCCTACAGTTACAAATAGCATTAGGGATTTAACAAATACCTAGGGCCTGTAGGTATTTTAATATGTCTACTTAAGAAAAGAAGATGCCGTGAATAAAACTCCTCGAACATGCATTCAAAACTGGTAAAACCCCTTAACTGGAAACTTACTAATGTAGTGTCCATTTTTTAACAACACCAAGGGACACATGCAGAACAAATGATACAGCATATTTAAATTTCCAGAAGGTCTTTGATAAAGTACCTGGTATGAAATTAATAATCGAATTGTTTGGCTTGAGAATTAATGGATAGAAAAGGTAAGGACAGAGTCCAAATAAGGGGTGAATATTCCAATGTGGGTGATTTAATTCGTGGAATACTTCATGGATCTGTCTTCTGTCTGCAGCTCTTAACAATTTGTATCAGTGATGATATTGAACGAAAACCACAAAAATCATTGTTTCTCTGGAATTATTCCCAGAGAAAAAAAATATACATCTTCAGGTTTTAAGGAATGCCCTATACTAAGAACTAAACATTTGACTAAGTATGTCAAACCTTCAAAGGTATTGACAAAGTAAACCCATTGGATTTCTTGTGAAAACCAATATTTCAACAGTGAAACATAAACCAGGAGTCCCTAGTGGAAACTACATGGAAGTGAGTGGAAAATAGAGGGCTGTGGGGATCTGGATCAAGCAACCCAGCCATATTGTTGAAGCCCATACACTGGATTCCTTCAAGAAACAGCTGGATGAGATCTATGAAGCAACTGAGTGGTTTCATTTTGGCTGGGGCAACATTAATCAAGCACAACAGAAAACAAAGCATACAATTTCAAAGTCCTCAACCTGTATTCTACAGAATGTGGTTTTCAGTACAGAAGAAGGCTGATAAAAATGCTACATATTTAGTGACATAAAACAGATCTCTTTGTTGTGTAATTGTCAATACGTACGTCATTTCTAATTAATTATTATTCAGTAAGGTAACTTGCCATATAACCATGTATGGTAGAAGGAATGATTTGTCATGACCCTGAAAAATGCTCAAGGACTATATTTATTACAAAAAAGTAAATTGAGTGAATTTTACTGTCACTTTGCATATATTATATATTTTGTATAGTATGTACTATTGAAACAATGGGTGTGGGATACTTGTTGATCATTTCGTGCCCAACTTCCCCTCATGTTATCATGCTTTAAAGATGACTGAGATGACTGCTCATCCAAAGGAGAACACTAGTGTGGTTTCCCACACAGAAACCAAAATTGCTCACTGTTGGACAGTGTCCAATGATAGAAAGCAGGAGATGATGCATTTTTGTTGCACACTGAGAGTAAATTAGTATCCCTTCAATAGGAAATGCAAATTCTGAAAGAAAAGTAATGCAAATTCAATGTAGCAAACATTCGCAAGACATGAGAAACTGCCA